CATCAATCGTCAGTTTCCTGTTACATGTATTCACTGCAAAAATACTGGACATCCTTCCAAGGACTGTCACACCACAGTGTATACAAGGTCGTGACCCAGTGTGATTATTTGATTTGTAGCAATTTCCAGCACTGCATTTTTTTTTACATGCGGGAGTCTCAAGTAATATGGGACCAGTTTGGTGTGGGAAACCTGGCTGGCATGGACAAACTGGACCGAAGGCTCTGTTTCCATGCTATATGTCTCTAATATGTTTAAAGCTTATCTCTCACTTACTGTTTAACCAATCCACATGTCACCAGTCAGCTTCACTCTCATTCCCTGTATCATGCATTGCCAAGAGATGTTTTACAAACCCCTTTCATGTGTCTCAGTGACAACCTGTCAAATGCACTTTTTTTTTGGTTGTGAGGGTTTCTAGTGTGTCCAGAAGTTGTGAAAGGCAAGTTTCTTTAAAATTTGGAGTTCAGGCTCCACTGTGGCGAGGCTGGTACTCCTATGTATGACTGTAAGATTGCTGCAGTGTCATAAGTGCCATCTTTCAGATAAAAGTGTTAATAGAGATCCTGGTTGTTGTCTTGGGTGAACATAAAAGATATCATGTTTCAGTTTTGAAGAATAGTTGATTTTCCCCCTGGCCAATATTTATTATTCCACCAACATTGTTAGAAGAAGAAATAAAGACAGAAATGCTCTGCAGCTCTAGCAGCATCAGAGAGGGAGAGAAATGAGTCAATGTCTTAGCTTGATGACCTTTTATCAAAGCTGGTCATTCTCTTTAAAAACAATCATCATCATGTTACTGGCCAGGCAGCATCAGAGGAGCAGGAAAGTTGACATTTCAGGTCGGGACCCTTCCGACCTGACCCAAAACATCAACTTTCCTGCTCCTCTGATGCTGCCTAGCCTGCTGTGCTTCTCCAGCTCTACACGGTGTTATCTCTGACTCGAGCATCAGCATTTCTTACTATCTCTAAGATCATTATGTTGCTATTTTGTGGCAGTTTGCTGCATGTAAATTGACTGTGTCATTTCTTACACTGCAACAGTGACAGCACTTCAGAGTATTTCAAATGTAAAATATTGCCGAAAATCTAAAATAACGCCAAAAAGTGCTGGGAATACCCAGCTGGTTTGGCAGTATCTGTGAAAAGACAGATAGAGTTTACATTTTCAGAACAGGGTTTTTTCATCAGCATTCAAATGTTAAAGATTTATCAGGTTTCAATTACAGAGGGAATGGAGGAAAGGACAAAGGGGAGGTCTGTGACAAGGTGGAAGGCAGGAATCATAAATAGATAACACAATGTGGAGCTAGAAGAACACAGGAGGCCAGGCAGCATCTGAGGAGCAGGAAAGCTGATGTTTCAGGTCGGGGCCCTTCTTCAGAAATGGGGGAGGGGGAGGGAGCTCTGAAATAAATAGAGGGGGTTGCTGGGCTGGGGAAGGTAGGTGGGATGGTGATAGTAGATAGGCAGTGGTGGGGATTGGTCAGTGAGGTGGGAGGAGCGGATAGGTGGGAGAGAAGACAGACAGGTTGTGTCAGGTCAAGGAGACGGGGATGAGAGGGAGGGTTGGTCAGGGGATGAGGCTGGGGTTGGGAGATTTTTGAAACTAGTAAAGTCCACATTCAGACCATTTGGTTGTGGGCTTCCAAATCGGAATATGAGGTGCTGCTCCTCCAGTTTCCGGGTGGCATCATTGTGACACTGGAGGCCCAGGATGGACATGTCGCCCAGGGAGTGGGAGGGGGAGTTGAAGTGGTTCATGACTGGGAGGTGTTGTCGTTTGTTGCGAACCGAGTGTAGGTGCTCTACAAAGCGGTCTCTGAGTCTCCACTTGGTCTCCCCGATGTAGAAGAGGCCACATCAGGAACAACGGATACAATAGACTACGTTAGTGGATGTGCAGATGGATGTCTGTTTAATGTGGAAGGTTTTTTTTGGGGCCTGGAATGGAGGTGAGGGGGGAGGTGTAGGGACAGGTGTAGCACCTCCTGCGGTTGTAGGGAAAGGTGCCGGGGCTGGTGGGGCTGGTGGGGCTAGTGGGGAGTGTGGAGCGGACGAGGGTGTCGCGGAGAGAGCGGTCCCTCCGGAAGGCAGATAAGGGAGGGGAGAGAAATATATCCTTCGTAGTGGGGTCAGATTGCAAGTGGCAGAGAATGATGCATTGAATCCAGAGGTTAATGGGGTGATACGTGAGGACAAGGGGAATTTGTCTTTGTTATTGCGGGGAGGGGGTATTAGGGCTGAGGTGCGGGAAACACAAGAGATTCGGTCGAGGGCATTTTCGACCACTGAAGGGGGGAAATTGTGGCCCTTGAAAAACGAGGGATGTCTGGGTGTGGAACGCCTCATCTTGGGAGCAGATATGGCGGAGGCAGAGGAATTTGGAATAGGGGATGGCATTCTTGCAGGAAGGTGGGTGTAGTCTAGGTAGCTGTGGGAGTCAGTGTGCTTGAAATAGATATCAGTTTCGAGGTGGTCACCAGAGATGGAGACAGAGAAGTCCAGGAAGGAGAGAGAGGTATCAGAGATGGTCCAGGTGAACTTGAGGTTGGGGTGGAAGGTGTTAGTAAATTGTTCGTGAAGAATAGAATCCCTACAGTGCACACAGAGGCCATTTGGCCCATCAGGTCTACACTAACTATCCAAAGAGCAATCCTCCCAGACACATAACCCCACATTTACCATGCCTACATGTCCCTGGACTCTACAGGAAATTTACCATGGCCGATCCACCCATCTGCACACCTTTGGACTGTGGGAGGAAATCCACACAGACAGTCGCTCTGAGGGTGGGATCAAACCCAGGTCCCTGGTGCTGTGAGGCAGCAGTGCTAACCACTGAGCCACTATGTCTCCCTAAATTAGAAACAAATAAATGACAAAAGCAATAATGGTAAAATCAAAAGGGATGGTAATGAGACAAATGGTGATACAAAAGATAGCTCAAGGACAGGTATAACTGGGATATAGAATCACTACCTGCAGTTGTCGTTTGAAAAGCACGAGCTGTGCCTATAAGCTGAATTTATTGAATTCGATGTTGATTCCAAAAGGTTTTAAAGCACCTAATCAAAAGATGAGGCTCTCACTGTCCCTCGCGCTTCTATTCAGCTTCATTAGAACAGTGCAGGAGGCAATGAAAAGACAGGTCAGAGTTGGGGGTTGGGGGAGGTGGTTAGAGATTAAAAGAAAACCAAGACTTCAAACGTATCAGCTGTAAAGCACTTTGACATGCCATGGGGTCATGAAAGGTACCATAAAAACACAAGGTGTATCTTTTCAAATAGGCAGTGAGGTTGCCATGTCAACTGTTTCATTAAGATTTACAATCATGGTCCTTTGTTTGGACAGACTTATTCATGGTTTTGAAAGTAACAATAGCACAACTTTTGTTTGAAGAGAAACAGTAAAGGATTCAGGAAAAGGTCAGGGAAATGGGATTGGAGAAAGATCTCTGGTTAAAAGGACAATGCCAGCACTGACATGATAATGTATTCAGAAAATGAAGAAGGGTCCCGACCCAAAATGTCAGCTTTCCTGTTCCTCTGATGCTGCCTGGCTTGCTGTGTACCTCCAGCTCCACACTGTGTTATCTCTGTCTCCAGCATCGGCAGTTCTTACTATCTCTGTGTGAAAGTGTTGCCCCTCAGGTGCCTTTTAAACCTTTTTCTTCTTACCTTAAAACTATGCTCTCTAGTTTTGAACTCTCCCACCCTAGGGAAAGACCTTTGCTATTCACCTTATCTATACCCCTCATGATTTTATAAATCTCTATAAGGACACTCCTCAACCTTCTATGCTCCAGGGGAAAAAAAAATCCCAGCCTATCCAGCCTCTCCTTATAACTCAAACCCTCCAATCCCGGCAACATCCTGGTAAATCTTTTCTGAACCCTCTCCAATTTAATAATATCCTTGATAAATCCTGTTTTTCTAACGTAATTAGAAGACAGATTTACTAAGTTTTCAAGGCAATGATAGACAGCAGTGATAATCTGTAAAAGAATAGGTGGAACAAATGACCCTTTCAAAGGTTTCTGCCTCACTTTACCTTTAACCTAGTTTTATCTTAGCAAGCACCATTCACGGGTTAGATTTTAGGCAGCAGAGCCACTCCCAAACTGTTATTCATACTGATCTGAAACCAATTGTGAGATCCCTTACATAGAAATTATTCAGAAAATACAAGACTCAGTCTCAGAGTGCACATTCTTGTTTCTTGTGAAAACTTATCAAGAAACAGAGGACAGCTCCGTCTCTATTGTGAGTTAAGACCTGATTACATATGAGATTCTGAGGGGCCTTGACAGGGTAGATGCTAAGAAGATGTTTCCACTAGTAAAGGAATCTCAAAATAAGGGATATAGTTACAGAGTAAGAGGACACACATTTAAAACTGAGATGTAAAGAAAGTTCTTAACCCAAAGGTTAGTAAATGCCTGAAATTCACTACTCCAGACAATTGTAGAGGCTAGATTTAAAAAGAAGGTAGGGGGAATTTTGAAGCATTGGGGAGTTGAGGGTTATGTGGAGCTGGCACAAAAGGAGAGCTGAGGCTTGGGACAGATTAGCAGTGATATTGTTGAATGGCGGGGCAGTCTTGAGGGACCACTTGGCCTGCTTCTGTTCCCATTTCTTATGGTTTTAAATGGGAGGTATTCTGAGTGTTGATCTACGTGGTGCAAGAGTATGTCTGACACGTATCACATTCTTGCACCACGTGATGTGATATGTGTCAGACATACTCTTGCACCAAGGTGGTCACCCAAGCCGCCACCTGCTTTATCTACAGATGAGAAATAGACTGTCCCGGCAGAGGCACAATGTACAGTACGCTAGATAAAGTATGGAAAGCAAATCCAAAGTCTGTCTCATTGTGATGACCACCTTTGTGAGTAGCTCTATCGAGCTGTGCATAAACGCTTAGTGTGTCACCAGGTGTCGAAGTTCAGTCTGTGCTGATGTCGGGAAGAATGGGTCCAGCCAAATCACCATGGAATGCTCCAAGCAGCTGGGCCACGCTGTAGCACCTGTCCCTTGTACGGAGGTTTATGCAGTAAAAACAACTTTGACCAGAGCTCCATCAGGCATTGATCAGCATGTAATGTCCTAGTGGCCCTGCAGGGAAAGGAGATGATGGATTCTGTTGGATGGTTCCCTAAGCAGACTGTCATTTGATAGAATGTGTCATTGCCAGAACTTTGAAACAAGCACCACACCCAGCTTGGCAGTTGGCGAAAAGTGCCCTTCTTCCTTTTATGCTTGGAGTTTCACTCTGCTGATAAAGAGATGCAATGATCCATTCTGAGCAGCTCTGTATTAACCTGCCTGTCCTCTGCAGTCTGTTGTTATACCTCATGCAAGATAAACATCTACTGCTGCTGAATGGCCATCAACTCCATGAAAGATATTTTAAAAGCTCAAAGTTATGAGCATTAATTCACATTTTTTTTAACTTAAGTCCAGAAGTCTATGACCAGTGAAGGTTCCTTTCTGTTGGCTGATCTTACAGAATCACTTCTAATGGTGGTTTAGAGCTGTAACTGTGTTCTGGGTCCATTTTTTTCAGGTGAATGTAGGATTGCTTCCAGAAACCAGGTTTCAGAGAGTTTGGGACAAAAGGTAGGCCTACCTGAGCCTGGTGTTCTATCCAGAATCTTGCAGGCTTTGATGTTAACAGTACACTAGGTTTTGCTAGCGTATAACAATCCAGAAATGTTGAACTGTTCATAGGCTGGGAGATTTTGTTCATGTGAAAGGATGCCTAGAAAGTTACTTTAGCTAATGAGGTAGTTTCTATGTGCCTGACCATGACCACTATTGGCTTATATGAGATAAATATTGCCCTTAGCTCAATAGCACCCCCACTGGTTTTGTTCAGAACTAACAAGAGGCATCTAAATTCCTGGTCTCCTCGTGGTCCACACAATGCAAGGCTATGACATTCCAGGAGAGTAATGTAAACTGTGTCCTGGTTACCACTGATTGGAATTTTCCAGAAATTGTGGTCAACTGGTATCACGTAATTTGCAGTGGCTATGTTGTAGACCAGCAAAGTTCATTTTAAAATGTAAGCAAGGAATTATAGCTTTTGAGAACTTTTTAGGATCTGTCTCTGTGCTGTATGACCATCTCTTTTCATGACTTTGCTTTTGGGGATGAGTTCCTAGTGAGCAGCCTCATATGTGAGTTGCCAAAGTCCTCGATGTCTTTTCTTTAAAAATATTGTAACTGTAAAAAGTATATAGCATAATAGTTCAAATTTCATATCAAAAGCTCAATATAGTTTATTGTAGTGATTCTGTAAGATCAGCCAATGGAAAAGAACCTTCACTAGCCATGGACTTCTGGACTTAAGTTTAAAAAAAAGTGAAGAAATGCTCATAACTTTGAATTTTAAAATTATTACTAATTGTAACCTTCCTTTCCTTTCTGTCTTTTTCTTCCTTGTATGCTTGAGTGTGTATGTATTGTGGCAATCAATGCCTGAATTTGAATGCATGAATAAACTATACTTTTGACCCTGAACAGAGTTTGCACCGTCATTTAAAATTTGGATTTCACAGACAGAGGGTTTTGGAGAGAACACACCACAGTTTATTTCAAAAGGGAAAGGAAATAAAAAAAAAGCACACACACACCTATGCTCACGGACGAAGACAATAACACAAGTAATTAAATTCATCTTTTCCTCTTGTCCCACCCCTGACCCGCCGAAGTACGTCTCAAACTAGCATCCAGAGCTTCCGGGTGTCATTTTCCTAGGCCAGGCATTTGAGAAAGATGCTTCAGATACCAAACATTTAATGAGATGGTTGTTACCACTGTAGCTGTTGTGGTGATATGAGGAGGCAGAGAGTGAATGACACGATGTTTGTGCTATTCGTGGCTGTTTACAAACAACATGCAAAACTTTACATTGTGGGACATGCTGAACGGCGCTATAGAAATGCAATTGCTTCATGGCCTACCAACAAATGCAGCGTTTCAATTGTCCGCGAAATGTTCATGTACAAGACTGCCTCTCCTCTACCTGAGTAAAAGTTGACATGCTTCCTTGCTTTAAGAGCATGTGGCACATATTCCCCACTAGTTTGTCCTCTGTGTCTTGCAGTTTGCAAATGTCGTTTCTAAGACATTTAAAAAAAAAATAAACGTTTTTTGACGAATACACTCAGAAGCTTGGGTTTGGTGACTACAGTTGCCTCTCCATCTCCTGTACTTCCTGCACTGCTACTTTTAGCTGCTCTTCCTACACCCCCGCTGACCTTTGAATGGATCTGTATTTCCGCATTCACCTGGAACCGGCCGCTAGGCTCCTCTCTGTCCATGTCCCAAATGGAGAGCAGGGACTCTGAGCCCGCACAGCCGGCCCCAGCCTGCCCGAGCTGCTGCCGGGGGGAGGAAGGGGAGGCGAGCCGGTCCCCATGCACCTGCCGGCGGCCTGACAGCCAGCTCCCCACCTCCCCGGCGCCTGACTGCGGGGAGTGCCCTGTGCACCGCGGTCAGCCCGGCTGGTACTGCCTGACTGAGGACAGGGCAGTGTGTGCTGGCTGTGCCATCCCGGGACCCTGCAGTAACCACCTGGGAGCCAGCATCGTGGAGGCGGCGGACCGCATGCGGGTGAGTGATAGAGGGGGTGGTGGGTGGGTGAGAGATCCGGGCTGGCGCAGGGTCAATGAGGGCATCAGGCGAGAAGTTCAACATTAAGGGAGCCCTCTCACCCAGCAGGCACGGGGATCAACATCAGATGTACAGGGGTGTCAGTGCAACTGGGAGATGAGGACATCAGGGTAAGTCGGAGCTGAGGGGCATTTGGGGGCAATGGTACCCAGGGCATCATTCAGGACATTCGAGGTAAATTGAGGCTGTACCAGGATGTGGTTTAGGCTGAGCCTGCCCAGGGACCCGCAGTAGGATGAAGCTGTAGTGGAGGGATCTGGAGAGTGGTACTGAATCGTCAGAAGGAGGTTCCATTGATGCTGTTAACATCTTGGTGGCTGTGGGGGTGTGGAACATCATGAAGGCTGCCCTCTCCCTGGTGCTGGGATAATATTCCAATCCCTAAACCGATGGGTGAGATGGCCTCCTGCACACTTGCTGTCTTGATCAGCAAGTGTGATGCCTGGCATTTACAGATCCAGGCTATTCAGTCCATCAGACCCTACTATTATTTATATTCCATAAAATTTAGCAGCAATTGGCTAATATTTGTAATTCCTAGTCCTGGTGTCCCACCACCAAGAAGAAACCTTTTCTACCAAATTAAAACTTCGTAATATTAAAGGTCTGTCAGGTCATCCCCCAATCCTTGATGTCGGCCTAGCTCTTGTAGTTCTTTTGCATTTGAGTTACAAGCAAAAAAAGTCAAGGCTGATGCTCTTGAGCAGTAGTGAAGGAGAGCTGCACTGTCAGAGATGCCATCTGTTAGATGAGGTGTTAAACCAAGACCCCCATACGCCTATTTGGATGAATGTAAACATTCCCATGGCACTGTTTCAGAGAAAAGGAGGGGACTGGTTCCCAGTGTCTTGGCTAATATCTATCCCTCAGACAACATCACAAAGATGGATTATTTCGTCCTTATCATATTACTGTTTATGGGAGCTTGCTGTGCACAAATTGACTGCTGCACTTCCTACATTACAACAGTGACCAGACTTTAAAAAGCTCTTGATTGGCTGTAAAATGTTTTGACATGTCCAGTAGTTGTGAAGAGCACTACATAAATAGAGTCATAAAGCACATATGGATCCTTCTGTCTAACTCACTCATGCCACTCAGGTTTCCCAAACTAAACTAGACACATTTGTCTGCATTTGGCCCATATCCCTCTAAAAACCTTTCCTATTCATGTACCTATCCAAATGTCATTTAAATGTTGTAACTGCACCTGCATCCACCACTTCCTCTGGCAGTTCATTTCACATATGAACCACCTTATGTGTGAAAAAGTTGCCCCTTAGGTTCCTTTTAAATCTTTCTCATCTTATCTTAAAAATATGCCCCCTAGTTTTGAACTCCCCCACCTTAGGGAAAAGACTTTGCTAGTCACTTTATCTATGCCCCTCATGATTTTATAAACTTCTATAATGTTACCCCTCAACTTCCTATGCTCCAGCCTAACCAGCCTTTCCTTGTAACTCAAACCCTCCAGTTCTAGTAACATCCTTGTAAATCTTTTCTGCACCCTTTCCAATTTAATAATATCCTTCCTATAGCACCGTGACCAGAACTGTACATATTACTCCAAAAGGGTCTTCACCAATGTCCTGTACATCCTCAACATGATCTCCCAGCTCCTATACTCAATGGGCTGAGCAATGAAGGTATGCGTGCCAAATGCCTTTACCACCCTGTCTTCCTGTGATGCCACTTTCGAGGAACTATGTATCTGAACCGTTAGGTCTCTCTATTCGACAGCACTCCTCAGGGCCCTACTATTAACTGTGTAAGTCCCATCCTTATTCGTCTTACCAAAATGCAACACCTCTCATTTATCTAAACTCCATCTGCCACACTTCAGCCCATTGACCTAGCTGATCAAAATCTCATTGTAATCTTAGATAACCTTCTTCATTGTCCATTATAACGCCAATTTTGGTGTCATCCACAAACTTACTAACCATACTTCCTATATTCTCATCCAAATTGTTTATATAAATGACAAATAAAAGTGGACCTAGCACCGAACCCTGTGGAACACCACTGGCCACAGGCCTCCAGTCCAAAAAACAGCCCTTTGTCTCCTACCATCAAGTCAATTAGGTGTCCAATTGGCAAGCTCTCCCTGGATCTCATGTGATCTAACTTTACTAACCACTCTACGATGCAGAACCTTTTCAAAGGCCTTGCCAAAGTCTATTTAGACAACGTCTGCCCTCAGCTATTTTGGTCACATCCTCAAAAAACTCAATCAAGTTTGTGAGACATGATTTCCCACGCACAAAGCCATGCTGACTCTCCCTAATCAGCCCTTTCCTCTCCAAGTGCATGTAAATCCTATCTCTCAGAATCCCCTCCAATAACTTACTCACCACAGATGCAAGGCTCACCGTGGAAGTCTTTTTCCTTATTCTTTTTCTGGAAAAGAATGTCATGATAGTTATAATATCTTCATTGTGATATCATCTTGTAATTGCTTTTTGCAGTTTCTCAAGTGTTTCTGGACACTGATGGGAAATCCAATGAAGATTTCCTCATTCCCTCCTCCTTGCCTCCTATTTTGTTTCTGCTTTCCTCTCCTTTTTGCTGGAATACAGTGGATTCCTTCCTTGTTTGCATTTGGGTCTTCGTTAGGATCTGATTTCCCACATTCCTGGCCTTTCGCCCCACAGCAAATTGAGACAGTCAGTTGTGGGCTATTGAACTGTGCAAAGATTGCAGCTGGACCCGATCTGATAGCCATTCAAGAGCACTACTGGACAGAATCATCAAGCAGTAATGACCAGCAAGAGCCCTGCCCAGTTCCTGTTTTCTTTTGACAGGGGCACTGACCCCTATTGCAGTTTAAGGAGGAGGAAAATATTCCAATGTAGCCTTGAGGGAATAGAGTGAAGCATGTCTCAGGTGCTCACCATAGAAAGTCACTGAGCCATCACAATAGCTGTGTTCTTACTTCTAAGGTTGAATCTTCAAATAGATCACATCACTGATCAATAAGAGTGGTTGATATCCCAACAATATAGGGACTTCATGTGGGCAAGTATTGATTCTTTGTGGCAGTGTGCAGCCAAATTCATTTATGCAAATGATTTAGATGAGAATATAGAAGGCATGGCATGGTTAGTAAGTTTGCGGATGACACCACAGTTGGTGGTAAAGTGGATAGTGAAGAAGATTATCTAAGATTACAAAGAGACTTTGATTATTTGGGTCAATGGGCTTTCAATGGGCTTAGGAGTGGCAGATGGAGTTTAATTTGGAATAATGCAAGGTATTGCATTTTGGTAAAACAAACAAGGGCAGGGTTAATACAATTAAAAGTAGGGACTTGGGTAGTGTTATAGAACAGACAGTCCTTGGGGTTCTGGGACATAATTCTTTGTAGTTTGTGCCACAGGTAGACAGGATGGTTAAGAAGGCGTTTAGCATGCTTGCCTTCATCGTTCAGAACTTTGAGTATAAGAGTAGGGATGTCATGTTGAGGTTGCACTTCTGGTCCCCCTTTTGTAGGAAGGATATTATTAATCTGGAGGGGGTCCAGAAAAGATTTACTAGGATGCTAACAGGACTGGAGGATTTGAGTTATAAGGAGATGCCAGATATGCTGGGACTTTTTTCACTGGAGCATAGGACGAAAATCATGAGTGGATAGATAAGGATAATGGTAGGTGTCCTTTCCCCAGGGTGGGGATTTCAAGACTCGAGGACATGTTTTTAAAGTGAAAAGAGACAGATTTAAAAAAGTCATGAGGGGCAATTGTGCAATGAACTTCCACAGAAAGTGGTAGATTCAGGTACAGTTACAATATTTATAAGACATTTGGATAAATACATGAATAAGAAATATTTGGAGGGATATGGTCCAAATGCGGGCAAGTGAGACTAGTTTAATTTGGAATTATGGTCAGCATGGACTGGTTGGACTGAAGGGTCTGTTTCCATGCTGTATTACTCTATAAATGTCTCAGAGACTGTTAATGTTCCATTAACAGGATCAGGAAGGTGAGGGATACTTGCCTGTGGGTTTCCAATCTAGTAAGGGATCAGTCCTGTAACACACAATTCCTATCCAATCGGAGTCATTGGGAGTATGAGTAACAGTCCATGGAGCCCTTGCTTGCTGATGCTATGCTTCTTTCTCTCCTGTTATCCTCCTTCAGCCTGGCCTCAGGTCTCTGCCTGATGCTGGTGGTATGCAATATATGAGATGGAGAGGGTCACTGCCCCTTTCTGAACAATACGTTCATTCAAATCAAACCTTGCACAGAGTTGTTACTGACTGTACCTTCATTATCAAACTTCAGTTTACTGTATGGTTCCTTTACTAAAGAGAAAGAAAAAGAACAAGAATTTGCAGTTATATGGAAGTGGTGGACCTTCTCCTGAACTACTCCGTATATTTGAGTGGTTTGTTTTGTACTTTTTAATGGGTTAACCATCAACCACCGATGGGAAATAGAGTTTATTTTGTCCAGGCTAAACAAAATGAATTAGCTAAAGCAAATGCTCAGACTAATGATCTCATTGCTGTTTTTGCAATCTTACTGGGTTCATGTCCCAGGGAATGTGAAGGAGCAGGGGTATATTTCCCAGCCAGAAGTCAGGACAGTGTGTGACTTGTCTGCTTCTCTTTTCAGTCTAAGTGGTAGAGGTTGCATGTTTCTTAATGTATTGTCAGAGGAAACTCGGAGAGTTGCTGCATTACATCTTGAAATGGTGCAGACTGCTGCCACTGTGTGTGGGTGGTGGAGGGAATGAAGGTTTAAAAAGGTGAATGGGGTGCAAATCAAGATGGCTGCTTTATCCTGGATGGTGCAATTGTCTTGAGTGTTATTCTTGAGCTGCCAACCATCCACATGAGTAGAGAGTATTCCATCTCACTCTTGATGTGCATCTTGTAGATAGTGGAGACGCTTTGAGGAGTTAGGAAGTGAATTACTCACAGCAGAATTTTCTCC